GCTCAAACGCACCTTCATTTCCCACCAACATGATAACTGCTGCTTTGCAAAACGTTCTCCAAAAGGTCATCCCTCTAGCAGAGATCGATTTGCAGACAGGCAGGAGGCCCCGGAAAAGCCAACAGGCGTGGAATAAAGCCTGGGAACCCCTTCAGCCTGCATCCTCAGCAGAGGCACCTCACCGCGGAGGCCGAGACGCGTGATCGATGGCTTTTAAAAGCAACCACCACTTGAGAGGGACCGTTCGACCATCCACACCTCCTGCCTGCCCCTGGTTTTGGGCTTGCTCCAGGAGCGGCCGAGACAGCCGGCACTACGATAGGTAATGTATTTGAAGACAAGAGCTGCTTTTTTTGTTGTTTTTTTGTGGGTTGTTTTTTCTTGTGGCCACTGTTTCCTTCCCCCCCGCCCAAACAGTTCTTCTATGCAATTAGGTCGCCTTTGAAAGCCAGCACACAGCAGCAGTTGAGTTACTTTGTTTAAAACAAAAACATGTATTTCTATCACCTTAGGAGTTGTTCCTCTTTTGGCACAGGGACCCTCTGATCCTCCCACCTCCTTTTATCAGCATCTTCAAAAGAAGAAGGGAGGTATAATTGCTTTCTCCCCTCGCCTCAGAAAAGGAAAAAATAAAAAAAAAAAGGAAAGGCTGCTGTTCTTCTCTACTGGCATCTTGAGAAGAAACGCGCTTTGAGCAATCGTTTATTTACAGAACAAAAATAACATCTAGATTTCAAAGGGCAGAGCAGTTCGGAAGGCGGCGGCGCTCTCCTCCCTCCCCCGCCATCAGCTTTTGGTTGTTACCCCCCACCGCCCGCACAGCCCCGTTCTGCCTCATTCCTCGCTCCAGGGGTGCTGGCGGGATTCGCCCCTTCTCTTTTGAGCCCGGCAACGCGCGCCGCAGCGCTGTAATCATCTCAACCCGACTGCTGACACCGCCGTGCCGCGAGCCGGCATCCGAGCAAGCTGCAAGGCTAACAGGCCACGACACGGCAAAGGCGGGGTGGGTCTTTAAAGCAGAATCACAGAATCGTTCAGGTTGGGAAAGCCCTTTAAGCTCCCCCAGCCCAACCGCCCCCCTACCCCTGCCATCCCACCCCCAAACCCTGGCCCTCAGCACCGCCTCTGCCCGGCTGTTAAATCCCCCCAGGGCTGGGGACTCGACCCCTTCCCTGGGCAGCCCCTTCCAGCCCCTGACAGCCCCAAGGGGAAGGAATTGTTCCCCATGCCCAACCTCACCCTGCCCTGGCACAACTTGAGGCCGGTGCCCCTCGTCCCAGCGCCCCTTCCCTGGGAGCAGAGCCCGACCCCCCCGGCTCCCCCCTCCTCTCAGGCAGTTGTAGGCAGCGATGAGGGCTCCCCTCAGCCTCCTCTGCTCCAGGCTGAACCCCCCCAGCTCCCCCAGCCGCTCCCCAGCAGCCTGGGGCTCCAGACCCCTCCCCAGCTCCGCTGCCCTTCTCTGGACACGCTCCAGCCCCCCCAGGTCCTTTGGGGAGGGAGGGGCCCAACCCTGACCCCAGCACTCGAGGGGCGGCCCCCCCAGTGCCCAGCACAGGGGCAAAGAACGCTAAAGAATTTGCAGTTCTTCCAGATCCTCTTCACCCACAACTGCCTTCTTGATAAAGAATAAACCTGGGAGATTAGGAAAGATTTCACTTTATACATTGGAAACCAGTGGAAGAACCCAGCCCTTTCCCCACCATGTTTTGCTTTTGCTGCAGCTATCTAGGTCTAATCGCCCCTGCGGAGGATCAGGGAGCAGAAAAATGGGAAGACACCAGCAGTTCCACAAGCCTGATTTCTTCCAGCTTTTGGATTTTTACCCAATTCTGTGGTTCCTCGTTAGGCAGGGTCCTCTATGAGTCCTGCTGTTCAAAGCATTGCTCTCCCAAACCGTATTCATCGATACCCAAAGCCAACACCTCCAGATGGGGGGAATACTGGGTTTTCTGTCGCGTGAAGCCATTCATTTCTACAAAGCCTGACAAAGCAGTGTTTTCAGAGCCTTTATCAAAGGGCTGAAACTGGCCAAAAAAAGTCCACAAGCTCTTAGTAGGGGCCGGCTGGCAGGACTAACCAATAGGCCTAGTTCCGTTAAGAGACTAGGCTGAAAAATCAAACAGTAATCCGCAAAATGGATGAAAAGCTGGACATGAGCCGGCAATGTGCGCTGGCAGCCCAGAAGGCCAACCGTACTCTGGGCTGCATCAGGAGAAGCGTGGCCAGCAGGTCAAGGGAGGTGATTCTGCCCCTCTACTCAGCTCTGGTGAGACCTCACCTGGAGGACTGCGTCCAGCTCTGGAGCCCTCAGCACAAGAAGGACATGGAACTGTTGGAACGGGTCCAGAGAAGGGCTACAAAAATGATCCAAGGGCTGGAGCACCTCTCCTGTGAGGACAGGCTGAGAGAGTTGGGCTTGTTCAGTCTGGAGAAAAGGAGGCTACGGGGAGACCTGATTGCGGCCTTCCAGTACCTAAAGGGGGCCTATAGGAAAGATGGGGAACGTCTTTTTAGTAGGGCCAGCTGTGTTAGGACAAGGGGAAATGGTTTTAAACTAGAACAGGGTAGGTTCAGGCTAGAGGTAAGGAAGAAATTTTTTACAATGAGGGTGGTAAAACACTGGAACAGGTTGCCCAGAGAGGTAGTGGAGGCCCCATCCCTGGGAACATTCAAGGCCAGGTTGGACGGGGCTGTGAGCAACCTGATCTAGTTAGCGGTGTCCCTGCTCAGTGCAGGGGGGTTGGACTAGATGACCACTAGTGGTCCCTTCCAACCCTAAATATTCTATGATTCTATGATTCTAAAATCTCCGTTACTCACTGCCAGGGAGCTGGAAAAGGACCTACAGGACCATGTTACATCTTACTTCACATACTTCAACACTCCAAAATGCAAGTTTTGCAGGAAAAGCCATATAACGTGGTCTCTGAAAGTAAAGAGCAAGACTGTTAAAGCTACAAAGACTGTATCACAGCCTACGGCAATCTGTTGCTTGGATAAGCAAGTTTCTCTATACATATTTATAAATATATTGATATAGTTCAACTGATGAATCAGATGCTCTTCAGGGAAGAGACTGAATAAAAATCCTACCTAAATCCCCCCGAACAAAAAAGACAGCGTGCACCCAGGTAGATGAGGTATCGGAGAGCACGGTGTCCCAGAGAAAGCCACCCTGAGTTCAGACAGGTATCTCCTCCTGCAAGAGACCAGCGTGCGCTGTGACAGCATTTGAAATCACTCCCATTTTGAAGCTATTTGTTAAAGAGAAGAACTGAGTTTGGCTTTTGAAATGTTTTGGACACTGCCACATGAAACACCAAAGATGCATACAAAAATGAAATGGATAACCTACCTTGTTTCTAACATACGCAGCTATTTCAAAACTAGAAATGAAGACAACCGTTACAAAAAAAGCCATTTATTAGATATATGTACATATATACATATACATGCAAAATGATTTTATACACATTTACACAGGTTCAATTATTAATACAGTGCAAAAATGTCTAAAAAGGTACCAGCCCACCTTCTACAAACCTAACAGGTCTTTGGGAGGAATACAGAACAAAAAACCCACCGAAAACCCACAGAAAATGATCAGCTTCATAAAGTGACTAAGCACTGCAATTCTTTAAATTAATGACGTTTATTCTTTGCCAATTTTCTTGTGCTGAGCTGCTGGGTGAGGAAAAAACAGTTTGCAAAAAGACTCATCTTGAAAACTGACAGAACTAAGGGGATGCGATTCAAACTACATTAAACAGTTTAAAGTCGAACAAAAAGGGATGGATTCCTGTTCGGGGATTTGATTCAACACAGGCATAATCCCACATTATGAGGCAGGTTTCACGTACTCAAACTGCAAACCATTCCTTTTTATTAAATCTTAAAGCACTGAGATCAATGTAAACTATTCTGTTCCTCTTGCTGTTTCACCAGAAGAAAAAGTTCAATTGTATAAATACCATACAGATACAGAAGCCGTTCAAAATACTAAAATTTTTTTAAAAAAAAAAAAAAGGTCAAACCATATGTGCTCTGCCCCACCCCTGTATCACAATTCAAACCTACAAAGCGTGCAGATACTAATGCACACGTATTAACCCACGTACATTCCTTAATACGGTTTGTACATATTACAGGGGGAAAATAAAAAAGGTTGCAAAGGGATTAAGACTAACAGCAAACCAGAGCTTTGTTCATTTAGTAGAAAAGATTCACCACCTAATCCACAATGTAAAAAAAAAAAACAAACAAAAAACCGAAACATTTCACGAAGGCAGAACTGAACCAACTGGTTTTGTTTGCTTGTACCGAAACACTTTCAGGAAAAAGAAAACAATAAACAAAAGCTGAATTTAATCTTTATCCACTCCAACTCTGTTAGTTACACAAGCTATCCATACACCTTGTTCCACCACTCCTATTGCAGAGCTGTTGCTAACATCACCTGGCACATTTGGTTTGCCATAAAGCTCTCGGATGCTCAGGAAGCATCAGGAACATCACAGTTTCTTCCAATCAGCTCAACATAAGGATGAGGAATAAAAAGCAGGTAATGGTTCGCTGGCCCCAGGCCCCCACTGGAAATGCTCTGCATGCCTTAAGCTATAGCAGGCTAGCTTTATCCCAGCCTATGGAGAACCGGCGAAGCTCTTCCAGACTCTTTAGCCAGACTGAGCAGGCTAGCTTTATCCCAGCCTATGGAGAACCAGCAAAGCTCTTCCAGACTCTTTAGCCAGACTGAGGCTAAAAGGGTAGGGAGCAGGGAACTGAGGTCCTTTTCACAAAGTTTTGTCTATCTCTAGTACAAAACGCTTCA